CTCCGTAAATTTAGAAACACAGTCCTAACTGATGCATTTGTCCTTAATGAAAAGTTGATTGTCATTACAACATTTTATCAAGGAAAGCTGTAATTTAGCAGTTCGTATCTATTTTTATCTGAAATTAATATGCAGATGTCAAAAAAGTATAAAATCGCAGAATCAAATTTCATAATGCTGCAGGTCAAACAGCAGCAATACTGAAATTTTGCATTCTTATAAGAAGACATAACACACTTCCTTCTGTTCCTCAAACTAATCAAAGAATAATATTTCAAAAAAATTTAGATATGTACCTACTTACTTCGTCTGTTTCACTTGTACTTTATAAAATAATATAAACTTGTTTTGCTAATTTATGATGGTATAGAGCTGAACTTGACTCGTTACCCAATTTCACGACTGCACTACATCAATAAAAATATTCAAAATGAATTTGATGAACACTCCAGCAATGAAGATAGATATATAATTTTAAATTAAGTATTTATAATTTTTGTAATACCTAGGTTTTGTTTGTTATTGGTGTAAGCCTAAAAAACGTCTCGCTAGTTTGCGGTGCACTTAACAAATACGAGCCCGACCTTTGACCCACAGGTAACTGCTCATAGAGTAGCTGAAAAGTCAAGGGGAAAGACATTCTTCGACACAGTTTAGTATTATTATGAAAAATATAGGCGTTCCGTTTAAACGTTACCCACCAAAACTGTATTAGGTACGTCCCGAACGTAAACTATATTGTAATAAAATCCATGTGACGAATGGCTAATTTCATTTTTCTTTGACAGTTGATAGCTCAAAAAATATAAAAATAGATTTCCCATTTCTGTCTGTTTGTTTGTTGTCTGCCTGCCTGTATGTCGTCTGTCGTCTGCTAACGAATTGATTAGACAAGTAACCTCACAAACCATCAGAGAAACTGTTATGGAATTTAGATATCTTTTAAGTATACGAACCATGTAGATCACAATTTGCTTCTTCATTCTCACCAAAAATATAATGACGTCATCTCAAAGTTTTGTGTAATAAATTCGTGAGAATTTCTGTCTAAATAGCTTCGTTAAGACAGGAATAAACGAGTGATGTACTTAAGGAGTGTAGAAAAGAGTTTCTAAAGCAAACCTACTTATATTGGTTGTTCTAATAGAGATTTAAACATTAGTACCTATGTACTTATTTCCATCAAACATTCTAACGCGTTTAATTTTGAGCCTTTATTTTCCATGTGTAAAATTTTAAAATCCTCATTGAGATTGTGACTCCGTAAATACAGTATTTGCATAAGTCATGTTTGGAAATAGAGATTTCTATTTTGGCTATAAATATTTCGGACAACAGAGAGCTCAGGGCGTTATCCATGGCTAGGCCATCTCTTTGTCTGAAGAACTTACCGCCGAATTGAAAGTCATTTTGAAATAAGCAAATATAAAGTTCTAAAAGAATTTCATCCATTATAACCGGATTAGTATTTTTGGAAAGTGAAAAGATTTCTAACGTCAAACGGAACTAATTTGCAGGTAGAAGGTAGATAAATTGAGGACATTTTGTTCATTAATTCTTGTGAGTTCTTAACCGAAAATATTGACTGAAACGTTAAATTTTATCTTTGAGGATAGGTAATGGTGCTTTTGCTACTTTTTACAGGGGGCTTGAGTATATGAGACCACGGGTCTTATGGGGATATAATTTTTATCGAGTTTTAGAAGGCCATACATTCTTGGAGATTTTGTATTCATTATTGTTCAATATTGTTTTTGTTTTTCTGTAGAAATTCCGTTGATATCTTTTAAAACTGTTTTTAATTCATTTGTAAATTTTTAAGTTGGATTACTTCGTAATTGTTCAAAGTTGTTGCTACTAAGGAAATTGTTGACTTTGTTGTTGTAGTTAATTTCACTAGTGACTACCACTGTACCTTTATCAGCTTTAGTAAACATAATATGGCTTTAATAGACTTCTGTTTAATGTTTTTTGCTAATATTACTTCGTAATTAAAGAATAGTTTTATGTGCAAGGAGTTCTCTAGTTCATTTTTTATAAATATTTTATGTCTAAATCTTTGTAGTCATGTTTTTGGAAAACAGTGTCGGAAAGACGTTTTTCTTGATACATTTCTGTAAAATATTGAAATGTCTATGGTAATTAACTAGAATAAAATCTATCTACACACTGTTACATATCTATATGTACATCATGAGTCACTAAGTGCGAGTTCCTTGATATCTCATTAATTAAATTATTATTAAAAATAGAAAAAGAGTCAAAAATCAAAGTTGTTTGGTTCTTTGAGGGCTATATTCTAAAATTATCCTTAATTGTACATACAACGTGTCTAAAAAAAAAACATCCTATATATATTTACATATTTTGTTTGACCTCTTTGTAGGCTTTACAACCACAGTTTATTTTTGAAATTATAATGCCACGTTACTAGGTGATTCCAATTTTTTTGAATTTTTTTTATCAACAGACACAAAGAAAGGTAGGTACTAGTATTTATAAAAAATGTTTTAATTATTACAACATTCAAATTATCAGTTTTTTTCAATAGAACACCCTATATTTTATTACTACATCTTATTGTATTTTTTATTCTTTTTTTTTCAGCTGAGTATTTTCTATATTTAAAGTTGATGTTACTAGGATTTTTTACTTTTTAATAGACACATCGACATATTACAAGAATGAGAACAAAGAAATAATGAGATGCAGTCATTAAACACAGAGTGTTCCATCTGAAAAAACTGAAATATTAACATTTGAAAATAGTAAATTTTAGATTGTTTATAAACACTCTGTATGATAAAATTTGATTTATTTCATACCACAACAAAGCGAGTACCTTTAATTATCTCTCAACAAAATGTGGTAAGACAGACTCTAAAAATAACCCTATTGCGATTTTCTTTATGAACCCTTCCATTGCCAAAAACTTCAAGAAAATTGTAATAACGTGGCAACGTCGCATCCGCAGCATACTGTGGTTGTAAAGCCTAAGAAGAAATCACCAATATATGTAAAACATATAGGGTGTTTTAATAAAAAAAAATAATAAATCGTGTGCTACGCCTTAAACACAGAACACACAGTATAGTTAAAAATAATTTTAGAGTATAGTCTTCAGACAACCGTACAACTTTAGTCTTTGACTTCTTCTGCTTATAATAATTAATAATATGTAGGTATATCGAGGGCCGTGACTCACTCTGTATATGTTGATTATTGAACAACAGGCACAAGTATAAAGAAATAAAAACTATTTTTCTTTCTCTATGAAGCATGAGTAAAGCAAAAAATTTGAACGATTTCAGAATTTTTGATTGACCTTATAAATAAAGCCTTTTTTTTTAACTTGTAATAAGACTGACGCTAAAAATTATCGATGACGTCATATAACTACGACAATAGTAAATAAAATTATCAGTCATTTTTTCATATCGTACTTTCTAAAAAAGTTGTGTCCGAGCATTTTTTTAATTTAAGTTTTAGGTCCATATTATGTTTTTTTTTTTATACAAGGTGAGCCACTATACAAAAGTTCCTCGATATCTTGTTAATTGTTAGAGAAAGAAAAATGTCAGAGACCAAATTTGTACGGTTTTTTGAGTAGCATACACCAAAATTACTTTTAGCTATACAGAGTGTTATATGTTTGATACGTAACATACAATTTAGGTTTTTTTACACAACACCCTGTGTGTTTTTTCAAGTCCCCTCTTAGGCTTCATAACCTCAAATACTTTTGAAATTTGATGGAACGTTGCCACATTGTTCTACTTTTTGAAATTATTTTACAAGTTTTTTATTACATATTTAACATCTAGGTGTGGCTTGTTTCATTTTATATCGATGTTTAATTTTTTATTTTGCACTTTAGTACGTTTTTTATTCTCTTTCTTTCAATGTATGTCTTAAAAAATTGAAAATCTAAACTGTCATCTTTAAACATAAAAAAATACTAAGCAGAAGAATAAAAAAGAAAGAAAACAAAAAACATAATAAGATGCAGTAATGAAATAAAAGGTATTTTATGTGACAAACTGGGAATGTGACTACATATTTCAAAATTATATTTTAGAATTCTTTATAAAGATTTGGTAGGTACACACTCAGGTGATATGAATAATGTGGCAATGTCACATCGGAATTTTAAAAATAAAATATAATTGTAAAGCATAAGAATGTAGCATGTGAATATTAACAGGATGTTCCTTTTAGATAAACTAACTTTTATGTTGTGCTCGAAAACAGAACACTCTGTATAGTTGAAAATAATCTTAATATACTTAGGTATACTGTTTAAGGATTTTTTTTAAGTTGTTTTTTGTGTATTCAATAATAACTAAAATTTCGAGGAGCGCGCACTTAGTGACTCACCCTATATATACTCATGTCTTTTTCGTGATCACTTTTTAATTTGTAAAGTAAACAACAAGATACCAACACTATCATAATTCGCACAGAGTCAACTAACGTATTTTGAATTTGTTGTTAAACTTTTCTTCGAATAAAAAATATACTTAGGTTTAACACAGTACGATTCGCGAGCCTAGTACTTTTTGAAAAGACAGTCTGTTACTTACATATTTTTCACTTATACAAATTATTACTATTATTATTGTTATTATTAATTTGTTTCGCTTAAAATTGTAAAATGTTGTCATTTAAAATTCATTGAAACAATCCCACTTCAACGTTAACGCATCACTGCCATATGCATATTATGGGTAAACAGTTATTAGTGTTTTTGTACCATTTACACATAATCAGATTCAAACGCGTTGAATACCAGACGTTGGCGGAAATGCAGTAACCGGCGCCTTTTATGATTGGCAGGACGAATGCGCCGTGTTGAACTCGGCGCCTGCAATATTACCTGAACGATCAAGGATTCACATTGGTGGGCTACGCCCCACACAGCCTGGCGCCTCACTTCATTGGCTGCAGCCCCCCCACCTAACCTATAAAGTTGGAGGAGTAAAAATTGAATTTTCATTCTGCTCGTAGTTTGTTGGTGGAGAGTACGTTTGCTTGTCGAGTGTTCGAGTGTTCTAACAAGTTGTCAAAATATGAAGGCTGTCAGTGTTGTGTGTGCGGAGAACAACATCGCCGGAATCAACTCCGGTCGAGTGTCCAAAGCCAGGAAAGATATAGAAAATGAGGAAATCCAAATGTACCTCAGCAAATTAAAGGACTTGGTGCCCTTCATGCCTAAAAATCGAAAACTGTCAAAACTAGAAGTGATTCAATACGTTATTGACTACATTTGCGATCTTCAGAGTGCCCTCGAAACGCATCCTGCAGTGAACAATTTCGACGCTGCCGCTGCCCTGGGACAGAAAAAATCGCAGGAGGCGGTCAGCCCCCGACAACCCCTTGGAATTAGGGCGAGTCCTAACAGGATTCTTTCACCTTGCGAAGCTCCCGTCCTTCAAAATGGCACGGTAGGTTGACTTTCCGTGATTTCTTGCTACATCAAAAGGGAAAAATGCTACGACCTCGCACGACCGTTCTCATTTTTAGTCTACTTTATACAGTGGTGGAACTTGATATTAATTGCTTACAAAATATTCGAAAAGTTATTATTTGACGAAGTAAAAGTTTTGTTAGTGTGTATTGTATGAAATTCAAAAAGAATGTTTTATTAAATCAAAAAAAGTGCCCAACAATGGATCAGAATCTGAATAAAAACCTGGCCCTTTTTTAATGCGATTGTTTTGTTATTCTAAAAGGATTTTACAGTGGACAATTGACGACGGAATGCGAATTAGTGGTCTTGCCCTCAATACGCTGAAAAACTTCTACGTTCACAAAATTTATTATTGTTTGCTGACAGGTGTGAATTTCACATGACCATTGTTTAAATGGGAACAATAACTAGTTACATTTGCCTATTAAAAGTTCTTGACCCACGGTATCCGTTCGTCACAAGGGTCACGTGTCTGTATCCGGGATAACCAATATGCCAACACCTGGGTTTATGGGGTTCGTCGTATGGGCTAACGGTCCCGTGCAGATGTGCTTAAACACGTGCATCATCAACATCTGGCTTGATTGTCCTTTCTTCATACACAAACTCTATTGATCGGAGTTTTTATATCAATCTAATAATGCTTACTTTATGCATTCATGTCTGTCCCGACAGAATTTTCTCCCCAAGACGCGATTCTCTTATCAATTGACACCAAGTGTTCGACTCCGTGACACATGTTCAATTTGGGTAATTATAAGGTCAGCTGTCGCACCAACACATGTCTTGTTGGGGGTTTTTAATTAATTTATGCTACCATCATTACCCCTATAACAGATTTCGTTCGCTTTCATTCAAACGACCCTCGTGTCATCCAACAAACTACAAATTAGGAGACATTGGTTTAACGCATTTACTACAATAAATAATGCATTACCACCACCAACGCTGCAATATGTGTCGACAACACAAAATATTTGTTGCAAAATGATGTCAGTGCTTTTTTAAACTTAGAAGATACAAAAACACTCGTTCCATAAAACAGAAAAAGTTTCCTTAAGGTTATTTTTTTGCGTTTGTAAAAAATTCTGAAAACTTTCCCAGGCAGTGATTTCGTGGCATTCGATCCCATTCAATGTGATCTAATCCGTGATGGCGTGGAGTCACTCAAGCATGTCAGCAATTTAGAAATTGGCATTTTGAAATCTAAAAACCGTGACTGCTTTGTGTGGGGGGCGGATGAACACGTGCAACTTAACAGTGAAATGTACGCCGATTTCCAATTCAATCCGTCTGTACCGTTACTTTTATAACAGAACCTACGCATTACATTGAAATTCAGCAAAATTTTCGAAGAACCGTACTCTATTGTATTTTTTGTTTCAGACTCCCGAAAAACTAACGCCGTCAGAAAGGCAGGTGCCTTGTTAAATTAACCTCCCCGTTACACAGTGATCTTGAATATCATCCCCATCTCATTCCAAAATGATCATTACACAGTCTTCGTGGAAGAGGAGGCTGTTTATTTTTGGATATTCGCCTCATTTTTAGTTAAAAGGAACGACTGATTTCATTATTTATATTAGGAACGGAGAAAGAAACAGTAATTGTGTGTGTGCTGAGGAGAAAGTGAATTATGTGAAGCACTTAGTGATGTACCTGTTTATGTTGCAATTGTTATGTAGATTTTATTTTATTGTTTTGTACATATGCTAGGCGAGTTTATTGTACTTTTTCTACTTTTTTAATTGGTAGTAATTCAAAAATTCATTCGTGAAATTTTGATATTGTAGCTTTATCACAGATTTTTTTTATTGATTTTGTGACTTTTTATTCTGTGATTTTTTAGTATGTAATCTTGTACAAAGTGTAATCTCTACGTGAGACTTTGTTGGGATCACAGTTTAAAGCAAATAGCAATTGTGATTTTGACGATGTACATTTTTGTTCTAGAATATTATTGTAAATAGTTACCTATATAGCAACTAAATGTTGTTTGAATTTTTATTATATGAAGATATTTCAAATAAAAAGATTTCAAAAGAATTGTGTGTACTAAATTTACAAATAGTCTTAAACAGAAAACTCAGATTGTGCTGATAGTTTTGGAATAGACTTTTGGGGAATAATGTTAAATTTTTTTAAAGTTGTTGGGAAATTTACTAACTATAGAAAACGTACGGTTAACAGCGTCGGTGTATACGTCCTTGATTATTTCATCAAAACGCTTGAAAATTTTTTATATGAAGCTCTAAATCTTTTTTCTGATGATATGAAGAAAAGTAATATAGAGGATGATTGTAACAGCTGCCTACTAGTTATGTTAAAGACAGTGATTGAGACAACTTTCAGTTCAGGGATTTACATTACAGTCTATGTTAGTTTGGTCGCCTAAGTTTTGACAGTCTTGTACCGAACTAGGAAGTTTGTCACTCCAATCATTCACAATATACAGCGTAGCTGTAAAGTATGGAAGCGTAGCTGTAAAGTATGGAAGCAGTTGAACATCGTGAGAACGATTTATAGGATCTTTTTGAAATTTGGGCTGTCCCTAGGAATACTCAAGTACTATTTTCTGCAATTTTTTCAAATTTTATATTTTGTTTTTATACAGGACTAACTTGATTTTTGTTAGATAACACTAGTTGCATTTTTTAATTTTTCCCAATATGGTAAAATAAATTGTCAAAATAAAAATATTGAAAAACAGAAAATCGTAGCTAGCCTTGACAATACTATCACCTGTTATAGTCCTGGCCTAGGGCCTAAGTGCAGGCTGGCTACGGTCAGCCCCCATAAATCAAGAATCCAGAATCCAGTCTTGGCCTAGGACACTTTATTGAAAAATTATACTCGTGCCCAATCATTGTAAAAATGATAGAAGTGAGGGTGCATAAACTGAAATAAAGGTGCAAGCGTAACAGATTCATTTCAATGCTGTTACCAAATAATTTATAAAGTATTCTAGAAATAACAATACTCCGATTTAATGATTGTAAATAGTAAATACCTTGTTATGAAGTTTTTTGAAATATTTATAAAAAATTACATTATTTAAAAAAGATAAAATTAACATTTAAAAAACAATAAGTTTATAACAAATGGTCGAAATGTTCTCCATTTACTTCCTAACAATAGTACAGTCCAGGCCTTTAAGAATGACCGTCTCCCGTGGCCACGGTGCTAGCTATGGACTGCCAAAATTACCTGAGACCTTAGAGAAAGATGAATTTTGATAAATGCAGGTCTGTATTTGCAGTTGTAAACCAACTTGCCTTTCTCAAACCTCTCGGGTACTTTCGGCAGTCCATTCCTAGGACCGGGAGGCGGTCATTATTAATGGCCTCGACTGTACCTAAATACGTTGCACAAAGTTTTCAAATAAATCTATTAGAATATTAGGAGAAATCACATTTAATATTCTTTTTTGGGGTTTTTCGATGCTTTGTGGTCTATTAACATAAACTCGAATTTTTTACGTAACCCCACAGAAAAATGTCAAGTGACATAGTTGGGCATTCAACTGCTCCCCTTTGTCCTGTCCACCTTCCAGGAAAAGTTTTACTCCAGTAATGCCGTACTTGACGTCCGAAGTGAGATGGTGCTCCATTTTGTTGGAACCAAATGGACTCTGCAGGTAAATTTCGGTTCTCATAATTTGGAAATATTTGTCAAAGTCGAGGAATACGTAATAGGTACTTGTTGCAAAAGTTGAAGGTATTTGTAAGACGTTAAATTTCCGTTAATGAGGAAGGGACCCACAATGTCAGGACGAAGAATGCCGACCAAACATTCATTTTTGGGGGTACTGTATATGAACCTCCTCCATCCAGTGTGAATTTGTATTGGACTAGAGTCTACAGTTGTGACGGTTGAGAAGCCCATTCAAACAAAGAGTAGACTTATCAGAAAATAATATGAGTAACTGGTTTATGAAGTTGCCATCGTGACATAGTCTGTGTGCTATTATTTGGCAAAATTTTATTCTGCAGTCAAAGTCATCCTCACTCAATTCTTGTAGTAAATGAATATTCTATGGATGATATTTTTCCCATTTGAGTATTTTTTGAACTGAGCCTTTACTCATATTGTGGTTTAACGCCAATTGCTGCACTGAAGTTTTTGGATTTTTTTTTTTGGAAAAGAGTTCTCGTCATTTGTAACATTTTTCAGTCTTCCGCTTTTTTGACGATTTCTAACATTACCAGTTTCGCTAAATCTGCGTAATGTTTTTGAAACCGTCGACCTAGAGACTTGTTCTCTATTGAGATGATTTTCATTAAAAAGTGCTGCTACTTCAGTATTGCTTGGACATCGGAAGTGGTAGTAAATTACTTTTTGTGAGTAATTCAGTTAACTTACAATTACTTCTGTAATTACTTTTAACTCAAAAGTATTGTTTTGTTTTTTTGTACGAATCGTTTACCTCATCCACATAAAGAGGAGACTAATCCAGTAGGGATTAAAAACCTAAAGTGAATTTAGTACAGAATTTGTTAGGAAACCATGATGCATAAGCTGTTCAACTATCATTTTATTGACTTTGAAATGTATTTTTCTGTAACTTGCATTTTGCATTTCTCTGAATAATAAGACTGGGATTGGATTGATATTCATGGTACTCGGTTATTAATTAAATTAAAATCTATAAATATCACTTCATGATTTTGAAATTTGCTTGAAAACTTTACTTAACAAGAAAAAAGAAAAACAACTTTGGCAAATGTGTTGTGTAATTTGTAAAACCCAACTTTTGCCAGTGGTGCATTTGTTAACTTTTTACAAAATATACCTAATCTCTTTCCACATCTTTTGATGTGAGGCGTATATTACTTGTACTAATTTTAATAGGAGAATATAAAAACACCCACTTGTTTTCAGTTTTCAACCTATTTATATGGCGGTACAAATCTCGAACAATATAACTTTCAAACAAATCCATTTTATCAAATAAAATTTAACCACATGTGTAGTATATATCAATATCTACTGTAAGAATATATGTATTTCAGCAAACACTTATGTTCAGGGCCGCCGCTAGGACTTTTGGCGCCCGAGTGCAAGTTTGAATTTGGCGCCCATCTTCAATATAGATGATAAGATGATTTTTTTAAAAATTGTGTTAAAATAAGTGGAAAATTAAGGACCAGTGTTTAAAACGTTAAAATTAAATTAAAATTTATTTTGTATCCAATGAACAAACAAATATCTTTATCGAACCGAAATCTATTTTGCTAATAAAAAACATAAATACGTATGTATTCATATAATATAACTGAATACAAAAAAAAAGACTGTTCAATTGCAACAATAGACAAGTTACTTACCTTGCCTTGACTCATAGTTGATTTGAGATCATTTTTTATTACTTTCAATTTTGAAAAGGATCGCTGGCCAGATGCAACCGAAACTGGTGGTGTAAGCAAAATTCTAATAAAATGCTATTGATGTATTGGAAAAGTTGGGATTAAATTGTTTTCACACAAATACGTAAAATTTGGTGCCGATCTTCTAACGGTTTAGCTGAAGAGTGCAGTTTTAAAGCTTTAATCTTATTAAATATGTCAATGTCGGTCTCACCAAGGAAATCAACTGTAAGTTTTGAAATCCCAAATACATTATCATATGTTTTAGTTCCTCAAATCTATTATTTAAAGAAGACAAAGTTTGGTCTAGAATTCGGTAAAAAAAAATATTTTAAAATTAATTTTTGAATCTACAAGAACTTCGTCATTTTGCTCGTAATCAAAATGTTTCGGTTTTCTTCTTGGACGCACGGTTTGGATTGACGGAAAAAATGGTTCAACATTAATTTCATAGGCAAGTTTGTCTGCTTCAGTTATAATTTTAGCAAAACTTTCATCTGAAGGATATTTGTTACAGTAACTTATTACATCTTTAAGTCAATTGATACATACTTTGATGTTGATGTTAGGATTCTGCATCATTTTAATTAAGATGTTGATTTGATTCAAAATATCAAATTAAATTATCGTTGAACAAATAAATTTATACTTTTGTATGTTTAAAGCCAATAAATACAGTTCATGTTTTATGATACAATACCATGAAGAAGTATCTTTGGATATTTCCAGCAAATCATCAAAGATTTTGCAAATGTGATACCGTATAAATAAAATAAAATTATCGTCTGTTCCTCCGCACAGTGCAAGCTCCAAACCACAAGTACAAATAATAACTATGTTGCACTTGCCAGCTCGGATATCAACTAATTTTTAGAGCAATGTTCTTTTAACACCTTTCTGTCAATCACTAAAATAATTTATTAATTTATTGCTAATATCCTCCTTCATGTTCCGACAAACAACACCCGCAATTCTCAAATCTTATTCCTTTATGCTTTACCGATTTACACTGTTCACCATGCACTATAAAAAAACAGATGTTTATTGATTTATTGATGACCGGATGATTCTTGCTTTGCTTTCTCCCAAAGTCCCAATAAACCATTTTTTCGAGTTGTTATTTTTTTTAAATTATTTTGAGAATTTGGAAAAGTGCTGCTTTGCTTGCCAATGTGCCGCCCCCCTTTGGCAGCGCCCGCGTGCGGTGCACGCCTTGCACCCCCGCTTACGGCGGCCCTGCTTATGTTGCAAATCTTAAGTTTTTCGATGAATTACCTACTAAAGGAATTCACTGCCTCATTTCTGCATTGGTAAGATGTACCTGTAGGGATTAGACGTCCCAAACTGGAAAAATGTAACTGCCTTCTAGGAATGCATTTACTGTATTCAAAGGATTAAATTTAATCTCACTAAATATTTATTGTATTTGAATTTGGGAGAATAATTTTATTGCTTCTTGGAATTTTTGGTTTACCTCTGCTGATATCTCGTTGCTTTCTCGGACAAAAACCATCCATGTGGAATAAAAGTAATTTAGCAGGCGAGGCGAATGAGAATAGTGATTAATATGGCTATGAAAAATTGTTTGAATCTGAGAAGTTGTCTAAAAATTTAAAAGCGCAATGTAAGCTTTGTTTACCTGTAACAAAAATTTTATCGCGCAGTTTAGCAACATCCTTA